TTTATCCATAACCGGGTACCGAAGTGATAAGCTTCTTCAGGAAGCTTATTTCCAATAGAGTACTAAATAGATAAACATATTTACGGTGGAGTCCCATATGGATAAGCTTCTTCAGGAAGCTTATTTACAACGGAGTACTAAATGAACATCCATAATATAATATATTTATAACACTCCCCCTTATTTATTTTTATTAAAGGAATAATTTTTTGAACATATTTTCATTTCATGATATTTATCTTAATTGCTCTACGACAAAAAAAATAAAAGTCAAACTTCGCCATGCAATTAGAAAAACAAAATAGACCCTCAAATAAATATTAAAATGAGCATACGAATATCATATTAAAATGGTTTTTGCCTTTTTAAAATTTGAGATAAGATCATTAGTTGAGAAAAAGCTTTTATATCATTCATTTTTTACTTTATTGCACTAGAGTTACTACATATCATTTATTTTTGTAACCAAAAAGTGATTCATCATCAATCTCCTTTTCTCTTCATTTTTTGTTCGATTAAATTAGATATCGATATTTTAATTTTAAAACGTTAAATATATATATCAAACTTCTATATAACACAAAAAATTTCAACAGACTATAAATCTTTAACCCCCATTTTGTTTATCTTCTTTTACTTCATTTATTGTTAAAACTACCATTAAACTGATGCAATTTGTAAATATTTCTTTTTCTTTACTATTAGAAAATCTTCATAAAGGACGGACTTTATCTTGGGAGGACCCAATCAGGGTAGAAATGATATCAAGTAGCCACTTTATCGGGCTGTATTTAGAAATTAGTCAGTGCGTCCTGAATTTTAGTTTTTCACTTCAAATTTTTAGGACAAAAATGTTATGAAGTTAAGATTTTTAGTTTAAAATTTCAGGACAAAATAAATACTGACTAATCTCTAAATAACATCTCTGAAAATGGCTATATGTGCACTTGCCCCCCAATCAGGTGTGGTATGATAATAAGCGTTTGATCTAAACATAAAGGCGTAATGGTTTCCTGACCACTTAAACTTGTATCGGTTTGTAAAGCCGATATATGAACTTTTATTTTTCTCATTTGAACACTTCAACTTGACGGAGTGAATATTAATAAACACATTTGACCATTGACCAAGCCTATATGGAAGTGGCACAGCTGACATGGCTAAATTGTGTGCAAATCACGCTGCCAAAGCGCGTGAATAGTTTTATTTCTATTAAAAAAATATTTAAAATAGAATATAATATAAATAAGAAAGAAAAAGGAAAAGAAAAAAAATATTTCTCTCTTCCCTGCTCTTTTCCCCTCTCCTCCCACCTCTCTCATCTTCCCAAGCAAACTGTCATCCCCATCCTGTAAATTTTTTTATTTTCTGGTAGGGTTAAATGCAGTGGTTGAAGTCAGCTGGAGCTTCAGGAGTAATCCTAGTGGTTGGATTTGCTCCATTTCACAGAAGCTTCGGTGAATGACTACAATGGTGAGAAATTCGCGAGCAAAGGCAATGCATTTGTTGTCCACGGCAGCAGCGAAGGAATTTACACCTCTACTCCTAACTTCACTGATTCTTCTTCTTCCTCTGACTCTTTCATTCGGTAATCACTCTCTCCAGAATGCAATTTATCCAGATCTGTGTGAAAAAATGTTAATGGATGTTGGGGATGTTGCCAGCAAGGCTGGCCTTCAGTTGAGTGAAGCAGAGATAGCTTTGCAAGCTTTGGCTACTAATGGCTTATTGGAGGTAAAATTTTTGATCCTTTTTTTTATGTTTGGAGATGATAATGTTACTAATTTGTAACGTCATTTTTTTTTTAATAATATAGGACCTACAAATCCACATGTCATATAATAAAGACCAAACATGTGACATGACATTCATGTCAGCGCGATTGACGAACACGCTCAGCAGAAAGTGTTTATTAGTATTCATTCCGTCAATTTGAAGTGTTCAAATGGGAAAAATATAAGTTCATGTATCGGCTTTACAAACTGATACAAGTTTAAGTGGTCAGGAAGCCATTACGTCAAACATAAACTAACACCTAATTTTTTTTTAAAAAAAAAGACATCAATATTGATATTATACTCTTACACATTCGAATATTAATACGACCAATCATACCATTTCTGTAGTTGACTTAGTGTTTCACCAAGGTAAAAACCATCTGCTTGTACTTTCCAGTAACAAAAATGAGTAGGAAAATCACCTGAACAATATTTAACCAAATGCCTATTAAAAACTTCAAACGCTCTTTGTTTTTTACCCCACCAGAAATGACAGAAGAAGAGAGTACTTTCAATAGCATTTATACGAAATCGCCAATGAAAATCATCGCCCACTTTAGGTTTATGATATCCAAGTTCGTCATCTTTAGATGCGCAATGAAACCATAACGGTATTTTATTATCTGGAAGAGCATCAATGATATGAAACTCGTATTGTAAACCATTATCATTAGCTATAATTTGACGAACATTAGCGTTACACAACGCAATCAGTAAAATAAAAAAGGTTTTAATAATCATGATAATGGAACTCATTTTAGATTTCTTTGTAACAACTTCTATACTTCAACTAGTTTTTATAGCTCAACAATTGTAAAACAAGGCTGACTAATTAAATGGTTTTAAAATCGAGATATGATCAAAATTTAATGTTTTGAAATAATTAGATTCAGGATTTACTCATTTTTACGTCATACATCACCACTTACATCAGCAATTTGTTTTTGCTAACGTTACTAAAGTCAATAAATTTTTATACTATTTTTTAAGGAAAAGGTTACTCAAATTTTGTTGAGAAGAAACCCCATGATTTAATTGCTTCAAGAGAAGAAATACAGAGTTTAGGTGAAGAAGGAAATTCGAAGAGGGTTTCAGACAAGACAAAGGAACTCTTCAGAGTTATCTAAGTCAAAAGATGTATTTACACATTTGGCTTTGACACGTGGCTTGATCTCAGCCCTTGAATGAATTTCTGATGGATTAAATAAGGACCCTTCAGATTATAAGTTGGACAGCTATAGCACATTGGATTCCAAATTTGTGAAACGTGTAGATAAGATAGGAAAGAATAAAATTTAGTTAGTTTGTTATTTCATACCAAATAGATTTTAGACAGCTGTATAGGATTCTATTTTTTTTACATAGCTAAGTATTGTATAAATACACTGCCTTGTACAGAAATTAATGCACACAGAAAATTCTTCTAATCTCTCGTTTTTTTATTCCTTCATGGTATCAGAGCAGCAGCTCGATCCCAGCTAAAGCAACCTCTTTTTCTTCAATTTTCTGTCTCTAAAGATCACATCTCACTATGCATGATACTGAAGATACACCTGTTGTTCAATCTGCTCCTACAAATGGTATCAATGTTGATCCAAATCACCCCTATTTTCTTCATTCTTCAGATGCACCTGGTATAACTCTAGTCAATTCGGTTTTTGATGGAAGAGGATACCAAGGTTAGAGGAGATCTAACCTCATTGCTCTCTCAGCAAAGAATAAACTGGGATTCATTAATGGAACATGTTCTGCTCCTGTTCCCACTTCAAAAGACTACCAGCAATGGAGTAGAACCAATGATATGGTAATCTCTTGGTTATTAAACTCACTATCAAAGGATATTGGAGATAGTGTCATTTATCCAAAGTCTGCCAAAGATCTTTGGATAAGTTTGGAGCACAGGTTTGGGCAGTCGAATGGAGCCAAATTGTATCACCTACGCAAGAAGTTGTCTGGATTAGTGCAAGCCACGAGTGACATAGCAGGATATTTCACCAAACTAAAACGTTTATGGGATGAACTAGATTCACTAAAACTGTGATGTAAAATGCATATGCACTTGTGTTTGTGATGGTAAACAGAAATTGGAGAAGTCCTTGGAAGATGAAAGGGTAATTCAATTCCTTATGGGATTGAATGATGTTTACAGTCAAGCAAGAGGAAACATTCTAATGATGAATCCATTACTAAACACCAAACATGCATATTCTCTTTTACTTTAGGATGAGAATCAGAGAGAGGTTTATGCAAACCCTCTAATTTCTACTGATTATTCATCCTTCATGGTTGCCAACCAGAATAATTTTTCAGGACATGGGAACTATTCACAAAAATCTGGAAAACAAGCACAGAGCAACTTTCCACAATCTCAAAGAATAACAAGTAACTTGCAAAAAACAGGAAACATACCCCAAAGAAACACAACTTCCATAGGAAAGAAGACCAAATTTAATCCTAATGTTTCTTGCACCTACTGTAAGAAGATAGGACACTCTGTAGGGGACTGTTATAGAATCATAAGTTTCCCGGATGATTTTGAATTTACCAATGCTAAAGGAAATCAGTTCCAAGTCAGGAGCAATGGGGTGCTTTCAGGAGAACAAGGAGATGAAACTAACAACAGTTATAATGAGGCAATGAATCGGCATCTTTCAAAAGAACAATTTTCACAGTTAGTTCAGCTAATTAAGCAGGTTAAGGTTGCAGATTCAGGAATCTCATCTTTATAAGTTAATGCAAATGCAGTTGCTGGTACTATTATCAAATACACTGGTTCTTGTTTTTCTGTTTTTAATTCCAGCACTTGGATTATTAACTCAGGAGCCTCAGAACATATGTGTTTTGATTCAAATGCTTTCATATCATTAACTCCACTGCATGTTCCCTTACATATAAATCTTCCCAATTCTTTCAAGGTAGTAGTCATTCATACAGGAAGAATCACAGTCCTTCCTAATTTTGTCTTAGAGAATGTCCTACATGTACCTAGTTTCAGATATAATCTGTTATCTGTTAATAGGTTTTGCATGCAGTTTCATTGTATAATCTCACTTACTTCTAGTAATGTCTGTTGCAGGCCCCTTTAATGAAGAGACCTCAAGTTTTTGGTGAAGCAAGAGAAGGCTTATACCTATTGGAACCTAGTGCTGTTAGGACTAGTTCAGAAGACAATGTAGCTTCACTTTCACAACATAGTAGTGTGAGCACGTGATTTTTGCCCCATACGAACTACTCCCAAAGAAATCAAAAAAAAATAATAAACATTGTCGGTTTTATTGTATGCGTTTTTGTTGAATTTTTATTTTTATTTTATGTCATTATTTGCCTATGTCCGTACATATTTATGTGTTTAAATAAATGAAGAATGAAAAATATGTTGCATTTTGGATTTAATTGTACAATTATGATTAATTAGGTAAGTTTTACAAATATGAAAAATCACAAAAATAACGTACTTCGCATTTTAGTGTTTAATATCAAAATTGTGTAAGTTTATTGGTATTTGATTATGTGTGATAGTTATTATTTAGATTAGTATTCTAGGATAATTTGATCAAGGTTAAAATTAGGTTTGCATTTTTATTGAAGAGAAAATGAAAAGAAAAAAAGAAGAAGAAAAAATTAGTCTTCTTAATTAAAAGACCCTATTTGGGCCAATTACAACCCAGTTCACCCCAAGCCCAAATCAGCCCCAACCCACCGGTCAACCCGACCCGGTCCACTACCCCTAGACAAACGACCCCCACTCCATTTCATTTTTCATTTCCCCATCTTCTTCAACCCTAATTAGAGCCACCACCCCCAAATAACACCTCCCAGACCATCGTCCTCTCCACGCCTCCCAACCCCGTCTTCTTCGTTTCCCCACCCAACAAACGACCTCAACCAGCGGTGCCACAGCTCCCTCCTCCATCTCCAACCACAAACCAGACGACTCCAACCAGCCCCATCGCCAAACAGCCACCAAATTCGCGGCGTGTTCAGCCTGAAAATCACGCACACACACACGTAAACATAAGGAGAGAACAAGAGCGAAAAGATGAACTAATTTTCTCATCTCTAATCCACATAGAGGAAACGGACCGAAACAGGGGCAGGGTTAGCATTTCTCTTTACTTTATGGATTCTTTACGTTGCTTTAACCTTGCCGCGAGACTAGCTTGTGCATTCACTAGTGGCGAGATGGAGTTTGTTTGAGTCAGAGTTGAATTCGCTGTTTTTGAGTCGCTGTCGAAGCTCGGAGTCACATTTCGCAGAATCGTTGTTTCCGGTTTGAGGTCCGTTTTGCATCAATGGTTCAAATTTCAGTTGTGTCACTTGTTGTAGCCATTTTGGCGTCCAGAAGTTGTGAAGTTGAAAATTCTCATTAATTGGCAACACTAGGTTCAATTCTTTCCCATCTCTTTTAATTTCATATACATGGTTTTGATGATTGAGTTGATATGGTTTGATTTGTGCATAAGTTTGAATCTGTATAGCCAATACATGGGTTTTGGTTGCTCTATAAAGGAAAATGTCCTCTTCTTACTTTACTGTCATGTTGTAAATATGGACGTTTACCTTATAGTGCAAAGGTAGAATTGCAATCTTCATGTTCTAATTGATTCAGGAAAATCAAGTAAGATACCGTAAAGATAAGACTTGCGCCATTGGTATTCCAATGATATTCAAACTAAGTTGTTGGCCAAATACTTGTTATAGGAAATGTTGGAGTGATTTTATGTCTTTTCCTAGAATATGTTTTCTGGACAGTTTACACCCTTACTGCACAAATGCTGGTGGATTGAACGTAGTTAAGAAGCTGCAGTTATAGATTTTTTTTTTCGTAGTTGTTCTCCGCGGATTTGAAGTTGTTCATTTAGCTATTTGCCCATATGTTTGCTCGAATTAGTTATAGCTGGACATAATGGTTTGCTATTCATCAACTGATTTTTAATAACAACACTAGGATAGTGTGTCACTAATTCAGCAAGTAGACAATTAAAAAATGGAAAAGGAGATTGGTAATGGAAGTTGCACTAACTAATTAATTAATAAGGGAGTGGACACTTGTAACGAGAAAGGCACTGGTTGATTTTAGAGGATTGAAATGGGCATTACTAGTAAAATAAGAAGGCACTAGGGTAGTGGAATAATTAAAAACTGAAAAGATAAGTTGTTAGTGGCAAATGCACTAATGGAATGCCCACTTTAGAGAGCTGGAAATCAGAATAAAAGGGAGGAGAATCCGAAATTGTAAGAAGAAAAAAAACCTGAAAAATAGAGAGGTCAAGGGAGCTTAACAATCTGACGGAGAGCAATAGAGAGGGACAACCTTGGACATTTTGAAAACCTGAGTGAGGAAGTTGAGAATCCAGAAGAAATGATATAAAAGTGTAGAAAACTGTATTGTTGGTTTAAGTTTGATTGTCTGATCTCTCTTAATTCATTCTTCTTGAACTGTTTTCATCAATTTGAAGAGCTAAATTTAGTTTGCATTCAAGCAATTGGACCCTGCTTGGTGTGGTTTTGTTGATTGTGTTCCATTGATATACTATTGGTTCTAAATTGTGAGTTTTAAGTTGGTCCTCTTTAGTCATTCCTGGGTTCATTTGTGCTTGCTGAACACTGATTCTTGCTGCTGCTGAGTCTGCTAAATCTCACTCCCCTCTTTGTTTTCCTCTTTCCAGGTATATCTTGATCATATGGATATCATTTGAGGTGTAAACTTGAGTCATGAATTAAGAATGAGAAAGCTAGTCTACACCCTTTCTTCTTTTAATATACTATCACTGTGTACTTTTGAGTTTTCAATTAATGTATTGTACCCAAAAGGGAGGTTTGTAATTAAAAGTTAAATCACATAGTTTTTGTGTAACTACTTTCTTCCTTATTGTGACTGTTGGACGCTGTAGTTATTCTATGAACTCGTTATTTTAGAGTTTTGTTCAATCAAGTTATTCTGCTTAAATCTTATGGGTTTGGAAATGAATGAATATTTTCATGATGGTATGATTGTTGTAGTGAAGTTAAGTTGTGGTTTATGGTTTCATTTCATTTTCTTGTTAATGGATTTATCATGCTATCCATGGATCTCCCTCTTTTAATTTCATTTGGTCTAATATTGCTTGTTTGTTGCATTGAAGTACCGCATCCAAGGTGAAAAGAATGACTTTTTCTTATATATTTTTTTTGACTAGTACATGAGATTTAATATTTTCTAGAAGTGTTTAAATGTTGATAGCATGAATTTCAGTAGACAAAACTCACTTCTCACCATTGTAAACCGATATATTTTCATGGCAACCACAAGAATCTGTTCTCATGTGAAAAGGGGATTAGCAAAACTAAGAAGAAAGAAAGGATTGAAGTTGTATAGAGGCGATTAAAAGCCTAGTCTCATTTCTTTCTATTTTTGGGTCAAAAATAAGACGTACCAACTACTAGAAGATTTTGTATATTAATTTTTCTTTTATTTTTTTTTGACATATAACTTAGTTTAATCCCAATAAAAGCTTTTTTTTCCACTAAAAAAAAGCCCTTATTCTCAAGCCGCTTTATTAAGATTGGGTAAGTATTTTATGCAATACTATATACAGTGTGCCGATTTTGTTTAGATGTTGGTCCGAATCCGTCTATTTATTCTGACCAAATAAAGATTATTGCATGAAACATCTTGCACCATATTTGCTTAAACGAATCACGTATTGCTTAGGCAAGGAGCAAATCATGAATATCATAGTTTGGCTCGAGGCGCGCCATACTAATTAAAAAATAACGAAATCTTGGCCCTCGTTTTCAGCCAAAGTGTCGTTTAATCCTTAGAATTCGAGGTGTGTCATTTAGTAAATTTCATGGCCCTCATAAATTGCAAACGTGTTAGTATCTTTAGGCGCGTTTTTTTTTTAATAATATTACTTTCCTAAACTTGGATGCGCATTTATGTGACCTAAATCCAAATCTCAACGGAGTCGAAATGTATTAACAACCACGGGTGCATTGATTGTGACGTGGTTCGAGATGCATTTTCACAACGTTGCAATTCTATTAAAAATAATAATAAAAGCGGTTTACACTTAATAAAAGCACACAAGTTATAACATGTATTAAAATCATATATTTAGCCATTATAACAATTTAAGCGACCGTGCTAGAACCACGGGATTCGGGGGTGCCTAACACCTTCCCTCGGGTCAACAGAATTCCTTACTTAGAATTTCTGGTTCGCAAACTTCATTTGGAAAGTCGAATATTTTCCTCGAATTGGGATTCAAGATAAACCGGTGACTTGGGACACCAAAAGTCAAACCTTTCCCAAGTGGCGACTCTGAATTAAATAAATAATACCATTTCGAATATTGTCACTTAAATTGGAAAAACTCCCTCACGCATTTATCCTTCGGGGTAGGCGCGCAAAAAGGAGGTGTGACAAGTAGTTTTAATCAGTTTCCAGTATCTTTTCCTTTATCTGCAAGTGCAGTTTCTGATGTACATCTTTGGCACATTAGGCTGGGGCATTTGCCTTTTTCATCAATGAAACATCTCAATTTTATTTCATTTCCTCCTAATTCTGAATGTTTCTGTGATGTCTGTCCGAAGGCTAGGCAAACTAGAATGTCTTTTTCTCTGAGTCAAGTCAAATCAAAAAGAGTTTTTGAATTAATTCATGTTGACACCTGGGGTCCTTACAAGGTTCCCACTTATAATGGATTTAAATATTTTCTAACTGTGGTAGATGACTACAACATAGGTACATGGACTTTTTTGTTAAATACCAAGAGTAATGCGTTTGTGGTTTTGAAGAATTTTCTAACAATGGTTGAAAGACAATTTGGGGTCAAAGTGCAGAAAATAAGAACTGACAATGCATTCGAGCTTGGAAAAGGAACTCAAGAGGCTGCATTTCTTAGTTATCAAGGGATAATTCATCAAACATGTTGTGTTGCAACACCTCAATAAAATGGGATAGTTAAGAGGAAACACAGACATCCTTTGGAAATAGCAAGGGCATTTCTTTTTCAATCAAAAGTACTTATTCACTTTTGGGGAGAATGTTTGTTAACTGCGACATATTTGATTAACAGGTTGCCATCTAAGGTTCTTAAAGGAAAAACACCTTATTTAATTCTGTTCAATCAATCCCCCTCCTATCAGTTTCTCAAGAGTTTTGGTTGCCTTTGTTATGTGTCTATATTATCAACTGGGAGAAGTAAACTTGATCCAAGGGCAAAGGCTTGTGTATTTCTAGGGTATCCTTTAGGACAAAAAGGATACAAAGTGATAGAAATAGATACAAGAAAGATTATTGTGTCTAGGGATGTTTACTTCTATGAAGATAAATTTCCCTTTACTTCAAACATTTCACCTCCAGAATGTGTTTTTCCCATTACTACACTTTCAAATACTACCCCTAATAGCCCTTCTTCAAGCCCTGAGTTGACTGATCCTATCATACCCAATTCTCCTAGTCCAACATAGTCTCCATCACCTCAAAATCCATGTTCTCTTGTACCTTCTGAACTAAGAGATACTGTCATGCCTAACTCTCCTAGTCCAACCAGGATTTCATCACCTCACATCCCTTATTCTCCTGCACCAAACACTCCTAGGCACAACAATATCCCTACACCAAATCTCAGAAAATCAACTAGAGTTAGTAAGTGGCCAAGCCATCTGAAAGATTTCATTTGCAATAACATATACCTAACACAGGTAACTTCCAACTGTTTTGCTCAACCAAGTCAGCCTAATATCTATTCTTTTGGAGCACTTTCTCAATATAATCAGCAAATGATACAGTCTATTTCAGAGGTTTGTGAACCTACCAGTTTTTCTCAAGCATCTAAGCATTCAGGTTGGCAAAAGGCTATGTCTACAGAACTTAAAGCTTTGGAAGCAAACCACACTTGGGATGTGGTTCCCTTGCCAAAAGGAAAGAAGGCTCTATCTTGTAAGTGGGTGTACAAGGTAAAATACAACTCAGATGGCAGCATTGAGAGGATTAAATCACGATTGGTTGTTAGGGGGGACATCCAGAGATAAGGGATAGACTACACTGAGACCTTCTCTCTTGTGGTTAAAATGACTACTATACGTTGTTTGCTATCAGTAGCAGTCAAGAAATGTTGGCCAATTTACCAATTGGACGTGAACAATGCATTTTTACATGGGGATTTGTAAGAAGAAGTTTTTATGAAGTTTCCCTCAGGTTTATCCCCTCCTAGTCCTAATCATGTGTGTTTGCTCAAAAAATCTTTATATGGTTTAAAGCAAGCGTTCCGGCAGTGGTATGCTCGACTTGCGGGGGCTTTGAGTTTCAAAGGACATTCATCTTCGCTCAACGATTATTCTTTATTTTTTAAGAAGCAGGGTGATCTAATTTGTATTGTGGCAGTTTATGTCGACGACATTATCATTAGTGGCAACAATCAAGAGGAAATCACAGCACTAAAATATTTTCTTAATTCAGAGTTCAAGGTCAAAGACTTAGGAAATTTAAATTATTTCTTAGATATGAAAATTCTGAGGGAAGCACAAGGCATAATAATTTGTCAAAGAAAATTCACCTTGGATTTGTTGAAGGAGTTTGACGTTTCTGCATTGCCTTGTGTTTCTTCACCCCTCGAGCCATCCTCCAAGTTATTTGCAGATGAAGGCCCTTTGCTTCGAGACCCTACTGTATACAGACACCTTGATGGGAAGCTCAATTATCTTACTCACACTCGACCTGACCTTTCTTTTGTTGTCTTGAAGCTGAGTTAGTATATGCAAAGCCCCCGCCTTTCACATTTTTCGACAGCACTTCGTGTATTGTGTTATTTACGCTCAGATCCAGGTCAGCGGATTATTTTAAACTCAAATCCTACACTTGATTTGCTTGCTTTTTGTGACGCCGATTGGGCTTCATGCCCAGAAACTCAGAGATCTGTGAGTAGTTTTTATATCACTTTTGGAGGTTTACCAATTTCTTGGAAATCGAAGAAACAAACATTTGTATCTTTGTCTTCCACTGAGGCAGAATATCGCTCAATGCGTCGAGTAGTTGCCGAACTGACTTGGCTCACTCGTCTTCTCAACGATATCTCTGTTTCACCATCTTTGCCGGTACCCATTTTCTCTGACAGCAAAGCAGCGATTCATATCACTCGGAATCCCGTTTTTCATGAGAGAATGAAACATGTGGAATTGGATTGCTACTTTGTTCGGCAACAATTCCTTTCCGGGCTGATTACTCTTTCATATGTGCCTTCATCGACTCAACTGGAAAATCTCTTCACCAAGTCGCAGACTGAACCTTCACACAAATTACTGCTTGGCAAGTTGGGAGTAACTTCTTTACCCTCCAACTTGAGGGGAGATGTTGAGAAGAAACCCCATGATTTAATTGCTTCAAGAGAAGAAATACAGAGTCTAGGTGAAGAAGGAAATTCGAAGAGGGTTTCAGACAAGACAAAGGAACTCTTCGGAGTTATCTAAGTCAAAAGATGTATCTACACATTTGGCTTTGACACGTGGCTCGATCTCAGCCCTTGAACGAATTTCTGATGGATTAAATAAGGACCCTTCAGATTATAAGTTGGACAGCTATAGCATATTGGATTCCAAATTTGTGAAACGTGTAGATAAGATAGGAAAGAATAAAATTTAGTTAGTTTGTTATTTCATACCAAATAGATTTTAGACAGCTGTATAGGATTCTATTTGTTTTACATAGCTAAGTATTGTATAAATACACTGCCTTGTACAGAAATTAATACACACAGAAAATTCTTCTAATCTCTCGTTTTTTTATTCCATCAAATTTACCTAATTATCATGAAAATCATTAAATTATTTTTGGAACAAAAAAGATCACTTAAATTAGTCTAAATAACACATAAAGTCAGTATGCTATTGATACAAAAAGAAGGATTAACTTAAATAGTCGTAACCGCTTAAATTAAAAATAGTCGGCAAATGTATAATATATGTATAACAGTACATAATCAATTTATAATTTATGCATATTGACTAAAAATATGAATAGCAAATCCGACTGATTATTTATGAAAAGAACCCATACAGAAGTTACAACAACAACAACAACAACAACAACAACAACCCAGTATAATCCCACAAGTGGAGTCTGGGGAGGGTAATATGTACGCAGACCTTACTCCTACCCCGAAGGGTAGAGAGGCTGTTTCCAGGAGACCCTCGGCTCAAAAGCAACAGAAGCCGATATATTAGTACCATAAAAATGCATAATAAAAATGCATAATAAAATAACAGCAATACAATATATATGAAATACAGAATATAACATTGAAATATAACATTCATATAGATATTATTATACTTATAAATTCCATACATCTATTTTTTTTAAGACCAATCATGCATTTTCTTTAATTGACTAAGTTGAGGACCCATATAAAAGCCATCTTCTTGTACTTTCCAATAACAATATTCTCTCCGGTCCACAATAAGTGATTTTTTGGTTTTTTTTGTGGTCTAAAATAAGTGATTTTTTCAGATTTCAAGAATAAATTAATTATTTTTTTCCTACATTGCCCATAGAGTAAATAGTGTTGGAGTATGTGTTAGGAGTGTTTATGTGGGATAGTAAAAGTTAAT